TTTTTTTTTGGAGAACGGGCGAAAATCCATGCGCGCGCAGGATGTCATCCATAAAATTAAAAAAGTGTGGCCTTATTGTTATTATGGACAATTACTTCAAATTTATCTCTGTATATTTTTTAGTTATCCCTCCAAAACCGCACTCCATTCCCGTCGCTGACAAAGTGATCGATTTAGAAGACATGAGGGCCAGAAAGAAGGCAAGGAGAAGGGACCAACGCCTTACAGGAAAGCTGAGAGAGATATTCATACACTTATTATATCTGTGCCTGCTTGTGCTGATTTGCTTTGCCAACAGAGATAGAAATTTCTTCAGGCAGAATTACAACTTGCGGAACAGTTTGGAGTTGACAGATGAGAGTTTTGCCAAAGTAAGAGCTAGCTTGTAGTTAAAATGTGCTGGTAATGAATTGAATAAAAAAAAATGATTGCAAGAATTAACAAGTAACTGTAGGGATTGAATGACTAGCGGTAAGTAGATTTTGGGTTATAAATTTGTTCCACAGAAACAACAAATGGGAGTTACAAAAAAGAGTACAAATTAAGGATGAGATATAAGTGATATTAACGTACAGTGTAGGACAAACAACAAAATAATATCGTTTGCAATAAAAAGCTCTAATATTTATTGTGCACCTTAAACCCTCATCAGGTACAGCGAATAGAAACCATCTTTTCCTGGTTTAATGACACCATATTCCCAGCCGTGTTTCCCACTGAAAATTACAATGGCGACCTGTTCACGGAGGCAGACGATCTAGCCTTCATCCGGGACATGAGGGGGCTGCGACTAGGACCTTTGCGTTTACGACAACAGCGAGTGAAAGAAGGTCAGTACCTAACTGCGTGTATGTGCTCAGTAAAGAAACGTTGGTGGCACATCTACTCGAAATATTATTTCTGATGAATTAATTTATCTTTACTTTTCTGTTGAAAAAATATATATTTACATGTACATGTTTGCTAGTGCAGATATGGATGAGCTGGCTAAATGCATCGAAACGAACCTACGGATATGTGCAAAATGCACATTTTAATTTTGCAACTTATTACTGTTATTGTCATCGGTATGATACATATGACATCGCAAGAATAGTACATCCCAAAACACTAACTTATACTCCCTTGCCCTTGGAGAAAAATGTCATTAAATCAGTTTCATAAAAAATAATCCATTAAAAACCTTATCTCAGTTATTATGCCCCGCTTACAGATTCCTGCAACGTCGTAGATCCTATGAACAAGTTCCTCAACGGCTGCAACCCTATGATTAGTGGTGGAGACATGGATAAAGGCGCCTATGGTCCTGGTAAGTAGTTTTAGTTTTGACCAGTAATGTAAAACACCTCTTCTCAAACAATAATTTTTAGTTTTTATATTGAAATGCTGATGGCACAATTAAACGATCACAAACAACACACTGTATATCTTTTAGTATTTGAATTTACTTGTTACTTTTAGATCCAATTATAATTACATTGCACCAGCAGACACAGGCCTACCCAACTACCAGACTCGACACCTAAGGATCCTGAATTAACCGGTTTATCGGACCACACTACCCGTTTTCAAGGTGTGTGTCAGATCGCATTTCGGAGTATCATACTCCAGAACAAATTTTGTAGGACGACTGCGGGCTCATCCACGCTCGGCTGAACAACCTTAAACAGTACTCTTAGTTTAGAGTACTCTATTTCATTGTCTCTATGGGGGTGTATGGGGACTTTACGACATTCGGTTTGAATGTTTCAGCCACTTTTGATAGGGCTTTTTTGCATTGTATTAGATTAATGTGGCAGTCTAAGGTTCATCTAGGTGGCTTTCAAATTTATGCACCCGGTTTTAAAATCATATAGCGATTAAATACTACAATCGTTTACTATACAATCAAGGTGACATCCGAGCGTGGGCTCATCCTGTCGGTGTTCTGACTGATACTCCGAAATGCGATCTGACACACACCTTGAAAACGGGTAGTGTGGTCCGATATACCGGTTAATTCAGGATCCTTAGGTGCCGAGTCTGGTAGTTGGTTAGGCCTGAGACATTTGCTTTTTTATTCTGACAGTAAGCAAAGTGCATGAACTTGTAAATTTTCAACATTTCAAACGAACACCCACGTACACGCGCACCTGCGTGCACTCGCATTCACACAAACACACACTGATATTTACCCCAACGAAAAATCTGTCTCAAGTGATAACTTATTACTGGGCATTGTTTCCAGGTTGGGTAACCACGTCTTCAAACAGCACCTCACAGCTGGCCCAGGCGTTCATGTTCTCTCCTCCCAACGGCCCAAACGACCAGACTGTCTACGGCCAGGTTGACCACTACGAGGGGGGCGGTTATATGGTCGAGGTCAGCTCAGCAAACGACAGCGTACATATTCTAACAAGCCTGAAAGATCTCAACTGGATTGACCGTTTGACCAGAGCCGTGATAGTGGAGTTCACCGTTAACAACGCCAATGTGAACGTCTTCTCCATGGTCCGAATCATCGTGGAACTACCTGCTGTTGGCGGGATATTCATCAAGAAAGAACTGGTCAGTTTTCGGCCTTACCCATATGTTGATCCATTCGACTTTGTGTTGCTCCTGGTCCAAGTCATCTGGGCGGTGCTTGTGTTCGTTCTTCTGGGGATGGAGGTGGTGAAGATGGTGAAGTTAAAGAAGAAGTATTGCCAACAACTGTGGCACTTCATAGAACTGGGGGATCTGTGTTTGGCTATCACCAGCATGGTGTGTTTCGTCCTCAGAACCGTGTACACCATCAGGTCGGTCGAAGACGTGAAGAACAATGGAGGTAAGGGGTGGCAATTAATGGGAATATTATTTTGAATATATTTCATTTTAGTTGACTCTTATATTTTAAAATACTTACAGAACGAGAACTGGCTCAAATCTCTTTTACGAGTTCTTCGATGAAATGAAATATGGGTGTTACTAACACGTACGTAACCCTAATTTTCAGGCCATTTTGTTGGTTTCGATCTTGTCGCCAACTGGGACAACGCCTACACTGTGATCATCGCCATTGACCTTTTCCTGGCCACCCTTCAGTTATTCCGACCTTTGACCTTCAACAAGCACCTTGCCATAGTCCAGTCCGCTCTGATCCGAGCATTTATCGCTGTGACCACGTATATGGTCATATTTGGGATTTTACTCTTCTCCTATGCACAGGCTCTGCAGTTGATAGCCGGTCAGGTGATTGCTGCGTTTCGGGCACTTCCCTACGCCATGTTTAATCTTTTTGGCGTCATGCTCGGAGTGTTAAAGTACTCCAATATTATCACATCAGAGAGCCTTCTTGTCAGCATATTCTTCACAGCTTTCACCATGACCATGAACTTTATCATCCTGAATATGTTTATATCTATAATAAACGATGGACTAACGGAGGTGAAGGGGAATGAAGAGCTCCAGGATTACGATGAAGAGTTGGCAGAACACGTGTGGTCTAAAATGGACGCCTGGATTAAGGCCATATTTCAAAGAAAGGACAAGTCTGCTCTTGGTGNTGGGAAAAATACGATATCCCAGGTTTAATCTCTTTCAGGTCCCATTACTTTTGCGACCAGTGGCTATCGTCATCACGCGGCGACAATCGCACAGATCGCTTGATGGCGTCCGCTGACGACGAGGGCCTAAACGACTTCAATTTCCTCTTGAGCAGCAACGCCAGCAAGCGCCTGTTTGACGACCATCTCTGGTTCTCGGTGGCGAAGAGGCCCACTCCCAGTCGATTGTCCAGAGTACAGCGCCTTTCAATATGCATCGTGGTCTTATTTCTGTGTATGATCTCCAATGCCATGTGGTTTAGAGAGGAAGATGATACAACAAGCGGTAAATATTGGCTATGCGTTTCATTTGTCTATATTTATCTGCTCATTGTGCATAAATAATCAATTTAATTAATTAATCGTGATAAAAGACAAACGACGTCTTCATAAATTTAATTTGGGGGAGATTTGAGCATTTATGTATGTTTTAGACAAGAAAATACACAATTAGATACCAATTTTATTGTAAATGACGTTTTTTAAAGCTTCAACTAGATATTTTAAACTTTTTTCTGCTTTAAATCATATGATGCAGAGCTGTATCCGAATTTAAAAATATAGAAATAAATAGTAACATAAAAATCACATTTTAAACAATAGGCTAAGATTCTATCTTTTTAATAATTCTAGGCATCCAACTAGGCCCTATTAAGATCACGTTCAGACAGGTCTGGGTTGGGCTGATGAGCAGCGTTCTGGTTGTACCCCCCACGTTGATTATCATGGAGGTCTTTAAACGAAGCAAACCCAGAAACTCCTGCACCACCATCTTCCCCTATGTAAGAGACAGCGACGAAAATGAGAGCAAATCGACGAGCGCAGACGATGGGAAATTTCACTCAGCAGTACAAAAACTGATCACCAAAGAAATGCAGGACAAGTCAAAATCGAAGAGAGCGGACAAAGGGTTCGAAATACTAGTCGATCTTCAAATGGAATTAGAAGAAGAAGAAAAGACAAAAAGCAAGGAGAAAAAAATCCGGAAAAAGCCGATTCGATTTCCGTGGTGGAGTGTGGTGTTCGGCTACGTTCTCGCCTTCTTGGCCGTAGCCACCTCGGCCTTCTTCGTGTTACTATACAGTTTGGAGTGGGGTCCGGAGAAATCCACGAATTGGCTCATTTCTCTTTTCTTCTCGTTTTCACAGTCCATCATCCTGGTTCAGCCGCTTAAGGTAACTTAAGTCTGTTAGTAATATATTGAGAAAATCCTTTTTATACTGGACCTTACGTCAAAACCAAGGTCACGACCTTTCGACGTTATTACAAGCTCTTGACTCCAAATCAGTTCACCTGAAGAGGGTGCCGTTTTAACGTAAGGTCTAGTACGGTTCTATTCAGTTCACATTGAAGTTCAATGTTACCTATTTTAAAACACGATGACAGACAAATATATACAGTTCACCAGTATTTTTATACTATGTAGATGCTGATACATGTAATTGCTCATAGTTTTTGTAAGAATAAGGTTGTTTCAAATAAAGACTAAACTACATTCTGTTCACCATCACGTGTCAACCTGCTTGACTCTAATATGGTTGCCTATCTCCAGGTCTTGCTGGCTGCGGTACTGATGGCGTGTCTACTGAGGATGCCGGGGGATGAGGAGGAGGAGGAAGACATGATGATAGCGGAGCACAAACTACAAGATGGTACGTCGTTCGCGAGGGGATATTACCTCAAGTTAAATTCACCCTGACACCTTTGAGGTGAACTTAAAACGAAATTGTTTCGTGCCTTGAATAGGATAGTACCCGACGAAATTAATTTCAGCTGCGTTTTTTTCTATAGCATATCGACAGTTAAATATTAAGTGGTTGTTGTAATGTTCGCGGAGAGTGATATAACAAGCAGCTTTTGAAAGTTTGACAGTTTGTTGCCCACAGCCAGAGAAACCATTCGTCTATCCGTGTCCATTAAATTAACCTTGAACAGTAAATTATTTAATATTTTATACTATTAATTGACCCACTTAAATTATGGTAAGGAAGTTTATACAAATATGTTTTTTATCTATTGTAAATTGTGTATTTACTTACTAGTTTAATGGTAATAATTGTTATTGTTGTTTTATGGACAATCACTTTAAATTTATCTCTGTTTATTTCTTTAGTTATCCCTCCAAAACCGCACTCCATCCCCGTCGCTGACAAAGTGATCGATTTAGAAGACATGCGGGCCAGAAAGAAAGCAAGGAGAAGGGACCAACGCCTTACAGGAAAGCTGAGAGAGATATTCATACACTTATTATATCTGTGCCTGCTTGTGCTGATTTGCTTTGCCAACAGAGACAGAAACTTCTTCAGGCAGAATTACAACTTGCGGAACAGTTTGGACCTGACAGATGACAATTTTGCCAAAGTAAGAGCTTGAAGTTAAAATGCGCTGGTAATGAATTGAATAAAAAGAAAATCGATTGCAAGAATGAACAAGTAACTGTAGGGATTGAATGACTAGTGGTAAGTAGATTTTGAGTTATAAATTTGTTCCACAGGAACAACAGATGGGAGTTACAAAAACAGTACAAAGTAGGCCTAAGGATGAGATATAAGTGATATTAACATACAGTGTAGGACAAACAACAAAATAATAGCTCTAAGATTCGCTTTGCACTTTATACCTTCATCAGGTACAACGAATAGAAACCATCTTTTCCTGGTTGAATGACACCATATTCCCAGCCGTGTTTCCCACTGAAAATTACAATGGCGACCTGTACACGGAGGCAGACGATCTGGCCTTCGTCCGGGACATGAGGGGGCTGCGACTAGGACCTTTGCGTTTACGACAACAGCGAGTGAAAGAAGGTCAGTACCTAACTGCGTGTATGTGCTCAGTAAAGAAACGTTGGTGGCACATCTACTCGAAATATTATTTCAGATGAATTAATTTATCTTTACTTTTTCTGTTGAAAAAATATATATTTACATGTACATGTTTGCTAATGCAGATATGGATCAGCTGGCTAAATGCATCGAAACGAACCTACGGATATGTGCAAAATGCACATTTTAATTTTGCAACTTATTACTGTTATTGTCATCGGTATGATACATATGACATCGCAAGAATAGTACATCACAAAACACTAACTTATACTCCCTTGCCCTTGGAGAAAAATGCCATCCTTTAACGACTTTGATTTATTAGAAATGCCCATACCACTCGGATTTCTTGTTTTAAATCAGTTTCATAAAAAATAATCCATTAAAAACCTTATCTCAGTTATTATGCCCCGCTTTCAGATTCCTGCAACGTCGTAAATCCTATGAACAAGTTCCTCAACGGCTGCAACCCTATGATTAGTGGTGGAGACATGGATAAAGGCGCCTATGGTCCTGGTAAGTAGATTTAGTTTTGACCAGTAATGTAAATCACCTCTTCTCAAACAATAATTTTTAGTTTTTATATTGAAATGCTGATGGCACAATTAAACGATCACAAACAGCACACTGTATATTTTTTAGTATTTGAATTTACTTGTTACTTTTAGATCCAATTATAATTATATTGCACCAGCAGACATTTGCTTTTTTATTCTGACAGCTCATACACTGTAAGCAAAGTGCATGAACTTGTAAATTTTCAACATTTCAAACGAACACCCACGTACACGCGCACCTGCGTGCACTCGCATTCACACACACACACACACACACACACACACACACACGCACACACACACACACTGATATTTACCCCAACGAAAAATCTATCTCAAGTGATAACTTTTGATAGCTTACCCCCTTATTACTGGGCATTGGTTCCAGGTTGGGTAACCACGGCTTCAAACAGCACCTCACAACTGGCCCAGGCGTTCATGTTCTCTCCTCCCAACGGCCCAAACGACCAGACTGTCTACGGCCAGGTTGACCACTACGAGGGGGGCGGTTATATGGTCGAGGTCAGCTCAGCAAACGACAGCGTACATATTTTAACAAGCCTGAAAGATCTCAACTGGATTGACCGTTTGACCAGAGCCGTGATAGTGGAGTTCACCGTTAACAACGCCAATGTGAACGTCTTCTCCATGGTCCGAATCATCGTGGAACTACCTGCTGTTGGCGGGATATTCATCAAGAAAGAACTGGTCAGTTTTCGGCCTTACCCATATGTTGATCCATTCGACTTTGTGTTGCTCCTGGTCCAAGTCATCTGGGCGGTGCTTGTGTTCGTTCTTCTGGGGATGGAGGTGGTGAAGATGGTGAAGTTAAAGAAGAAGTATTGCCAACAACTGTGGCACTTCATAGAACTGGGGGATCTGTGTTTGGCTATCACCAGCATGGTGTGTTTCGTCCTCAGAACCGTATACACCATCAGGTCGGTCGAAGACGTGAAGAACAATGGAGGTAAGGGGTGGCAATTAATGGGAATATTATTTTGAATATATTTCATTTTGGTTGGCTCTTATATTTTAAAATACTTACAGAACGAGAACTGGCTCAAATCTCTTTTACGAGTTCTTCGATGAAATGAAATATGGGTGTTACTAACACGTACGTAACCCTAATTTTCAGGCCATTTTGTTGGTTTCGATCTTGTCGCCAACTGGGACAACGCCTACACTGTGATCATCGCCATTGACCTTTTCCTGGCCACCCTTCAGTTATTCCGACCTTTGACCTTCAACAAGCACCTTGCCATAGTCCAGTCCGCTCTGATCCGAGCGTTTATCGCTGTGACCACGTATATGGTCATATTTGGGATTTTACTCTTCTCCTATGCACAGGCTCTGCAGTTGATAGCCGGTCAGGTGATCGCTGCGTTTCGGGCACTTCCCTACGCCATGTTTAATCTTTTTGGCGTCATGCTCGGAGTGTTAAAGTACTCCAATATTATCACATCAGAGAGCCTTCTTGTCAGCATATTCTTCACAGCTTTCACCATGACCATGAACTTTATCATCCTGAATATGTTTATATCTATAATAAACGATGGACTAACGGAGGTGAAGGGGAATGAAGAGCTCCAGGATTACGATGAAGAGTTGGCAGAACACGTGTGGTCTAAAATGGACGCCTGGATTAAGGCCATATTTCAAAGAAAGGACAAGTCTGCTCTTGGGGAACCAACTCAGAACGAAGGTGTTTGTCAATTTTTTTTTTAATTATATGTTTATTCTTGTGTTTGTTCCGTCGAACTCCGCATGTCTTTCTGTCTTTCTCTGTTTATTTGTTTATATCTATTTATCCACATAAGTGTTATTTCTTCAAAACATTATCAATTGCAAAAGAAAAAGAAGAAAGAAAGAGAGAAAAAACCTGGCAAATTACATTTTACATTAACTTATTTTCGCAGATGTGACAAACTTCTTTAGTGAGATGAATATAATTAGAAGCAGCTTTTCCGTTTTATACCCTTTTTTAAATTAAATTGCTCAGATTGTGTTTTGATTTGCGAAAAAGAGGCGGTAAATACGTGGCCATGTACGTTATCACGAATAACTTGTTGTTTCTATATACATAGGATCAAACTCAGCGAAGTCATCGGCAAAAGCACCACAAGTGGTCATCACTTTGGCTGAAGAACCGGTCAAACAGGAAGACCAAGAAAGAAAGAAGGACCCGCTGATTGTCAAGAGTGAGGAAGGAAGGGCATTGTTGGTTAAGGCAAACAACCAGAAGCTTTCTGTACAGAAAGGACGAAGAGCAAGGAAACTGGCAACGGCCAATAGTTTAGCCTGTTTGGTAAGTTGGCTATTTCTATAAATTGTTACATTTATAGTGTATTTTAAAAAGGATTAGGATCATTTTGGCGTTTTTTTTTTAATTTGTGAAAGATAAAAAGGCAGTACGATTAAGGAATATTACCAAACGTGTAGTTCTATTAATGTGATACAGAGAAAAAAGTGAAATTAATGTGATACAGAGAAAAAGTGAAATGACATATGGTAGTGGAATGCTTCAATACGGGTGAGGTCCACCTACACTGCATTTATGTATAAAAAAATTGTTACATTGATTTTCGTCTTTGCAGATGGAAGAAAAGTTCTTACGGGTATTTCATACATATAACAAAGATGAAACTACACGAGAAAAATGGAAGAGAACAATTGAAGAAATACGGTTGAAAAATCATCGCCAAAAGATTGACAAAATCGGCGAAAAATTCGTCGAATGTCGGATGCACATACACAAGTTATGTAGAGCAAGAACTGCAGACCATTTTGGAAGAACCAAATTTGATTCAATCGTCTACGCCTCAAACCAAGGGCACAGAAGAGGATCTGTTAGAAAAATCTCACAATGAACTCTTAGTTTCGGAAGAATTAGCAAATATGCACCAGGACGTCAACCGCAATTCTGCCATGTCCACAACAGGGATTGGCGCATGCGCAAACAACACTCCTGGCGGCATCACACCAAACGATCCACCTCCATTAGCCTTGTCCCAGAAAAATGATGGCTCAGCTGGTGAAAGCCAGACTGCAAATGGCGGTGCTGATGGTTTGGCAGATGTTTTACAGCAAGGCGACACGCAGTTGGCCCATATCGAGACGACCGACGAAGTAAAACCACGCAAGAAATCCAAAAAGGACAAAACGAAACTGAAAGAGGCGGCAAAAAGCATCATGCTGGCTAATGATGTGATTGAGCAGATTGACGAAATAGCCGGCGACGAGGACGACGGTGAAGGCAAAAAGAAGAAAAAGAAGAAGAAGAAGAAAAAGAGCAAAGACAATGACGCCGATGCAAATGACGAAGAGGAGATGTTGGACTCTTCTTTGACGCGCCTTGTTGTGCCGGGCGATACGCATATGGAGATAGAAGACGGGGCTGGGGATGGACAGCCTTCTGAGAAGACACACAAGAAAAAGAAGAAAAAGAAGAAAAGCAAAGATGAAAAAGACGATGAGCAAGCTTGATGTTATTTGAAATAGACCAGACTACCTTCTAACGAATTTACAAATCTTACGGGTCTCACAAACTGAACAAATTAAACTCATAGCATTTTCTAGTGGATGACTTTTCGCAAATGAACCGGAGCGTTAAACTTCAAAACCGTACGTTTGTGCTTTGCATTGAACATAAAAAGACAGTTCTTGCTCTATGGACTCATTCCCAAAGAAACCATTGGTCTACGTAGAGTAATCCAACGCCGCTGGTACTCTCGCATAATCACATTTTTTCTTTATTCTATACAACGCCAGTAGGAGGCGTGTTAATCTCTTAATCTCATTGCATTGAGCGAGATATCTCTCGGAATTGTATCGATCTACGTAGCACGATTGTTGCATTGGGAATGAGCCCCTTGTAATAAAGTCTAGATTTACCGTCTGTAATTGTTAAATTATACTAAATATTGTGGTCATTTTTCATGTTCAACTCGTGTCCTTGGTGATCTGACCTGGTGCGTGTTGTACCTGCAATGTAATACTGTACATTTTTGTCATATAGACAACTGTAGACAACAGCTGCCAATATTCAGTGATTTCCAACATACGATAGAGACGATTTGGGTAAGCGCATAATTTTCCACATTGGGTTGCTGGCTTGTAATTAACTATAAACGACAAATATTGGCGATCCTGCGATGAGATCGTCTTACTCAGAATGTTATCTTATTTTTATAATAAATACTGAGTGTCTGTATATCTACAAAATACTTTAAAATTGTTTATTTTATTATTTATTTTATTAAATTTTTTATTCATTTTTATTTTCTTGTTTTTGCTGAAAACTGATAAATACACAAACTCGCAGAAGTATTATATCATTTTCAAAAAAAAGGTTTCCGAGGCACTCTAGGACAGTCTACGATAATAACTTTGTTGTAAAGTGTTTGGTTTTATTTAATTGTTTAAACTAAATATTTCACTGGAAGAGTGTTGACATTAAGCCTTTAAGATAGCTTTACAATCTAACTTTGTCACGGTGGACCAAGAAGGCGCGCCATTCAGTAATTAAGCTGATTGCGCTCAGCAAGAGTTCCTGCAGAGTAGGATCGATCTTCGTAGATCGATACTGTTTTGGAAACGTGGACTAACTAGTCCGAGGTCAAATATGGCTAACCCACTTGAATACTTCCCCACGGGGAATCCATTCATTGTCTTTTAACGGATTAGACTTTTCAGTGGGTGCCATATTTGGCCCTCGGACTAGTTTTTCCACTGTTCTGAATGCTACCTTGGGACCATTTTTGTCGGGAGTTCGTTCGTAAAGCAGCAGCGGCTCTCACCTGTAGCAATGGCAGTCCCTAAGGACATCACAGCAACAGCATTGTACGTACGGAATATAGCCATATTTTCATTCACGGTGAACTCCAGTACTCCCGCCTATTTCAAAATGCATTGATATTCCACACATATTTTATATGTTGTATATCTACTTCGTGTTTAAATTATTTGTATTGTTTTATTTTTTTTTAGATTTAACTGTATCTGCTGATTCCTAATATTTATGTAGCTATTTCGCAACTAAATAAGCAGCAGATTAGAATACACGAAAACATTGTTTGCATTCGATTCAGCCAATAAATGTGAATGAAGTTTAAGTGTTTAAATAAGATCATATTTCGTGCTACCGAAAAGTATGGATTTTCTCCAAAGATTTAACCAAATAGGCCTATACTTTTCGGTATTTGAATACGACCTATACTTTGAGTGCGAGAGAAAATATTTGTAATCTTAACTGCTAAAATGCGAAATGCCTCCTCACATACAGGCATTGACCTTGAGACGAGATTGTTTATAAGACAAAAAATCTTTCTTTCTATGTGTATTCAGTTTTTAGCCTAGTCGATTAATTATCCTCCCAAAACTTTCTAGAGCGTCCGTCGTCGCAGACTTTAACGCTAGTGCCATGATTTTACGGGGAGTGCTCTCACGTGCACTTTTCCACAAGCTATTCATTTTCACATCCGCAGTCACATTGCATATTTGTCATCACCTTAAAAGAACGGCATGCAAGCATAAAGGGAAAGCTAGCATATAAGTATCAAGCTAATATCGCCATTGCAGGGCAGCGAATACCGGTCTTTTTGTTCATGCTGCACGCCCTGCATTGTTATCGATTTCTGTTATCCAACAGTCACGTAGGTTGATATTACGTACTGACTGCAAACAGTTCCTCTTTCATTAAAGCTCTTAAAATACACTGCATGCTGTGTGTATTAGTGCGTATAGCACATTCAGCACAGTGAGTCGAGCTTGACCTGCCTTAATATGACCTGTTGACGGTGTCGGGCAGTTAAGAGAAAGTCGATTAGGTCAAAAGCACGAGTTCGACCCAACACTGAGGTGAGTTAATTGTTAGGGTCTCTCTCTCTCACTCTCTCTCTCTCTCTGGGTGTGTGTGTGTGTGGGAGTGTGTATTTGTGTGTGTGTGTGTGTGTGTTTTGGGGGTGGAGTGACTGGTCCACAGTTAGAACTGAATATTTTGAAAACCACCATTGACAGTGCAGTGATATGACTGCTGGAGAAATGCACGTTGGTGCTACATGTACAACAGTCCCTGCTTTTACTAACATCAGCATATTCAATACTTGGACACGTTTCAGGCGTTTTTCATTTCACGTTGAGCTGCCGGAAGGTGCACTTTATCACAAGACAGCTCAGACAAAATCCTGAAAATCAATACTTTGTGCGATTTTGCATGGATGCACACTTGTAATTCCTTGCTATTTAAGGCCACATAAGGTGTATGTGTTGATTGGTTGAGGAAGGTAATACTAGACATGGTCTATTGACAGTGCATACAGGTTTTGTGCATATATGTTTTAATGTTGTGGAAGCCATGTCAAAGGTCAATGCGTGCTCAGTGGTTGCCTTTATTATTGCACGACTTGACATTCTTTGTATTTGCATTTTTTACTACATTATATACCTGCATAATAATGCTTCGTACACTAGTTGTTTATGTACAAAAATATGCATGTAATATTGTCTCAGTTACCTGTCTCAATTATTGATCATTATCATATTATTGGGTCCCATGTTTATTTATGTATTTTAGCTCGCTGAAGCTATACTTAGTAGTAGTTAATTAAATCTATGCGCAACGGGTGTATTTGTGTAGAGCAGAAACGAACGATCCTCGTTAACCTTCACATTACCATCTCATTTAGTCAAGTTTACAGTGATATCAGCAAATCTCGATTCCAGATTACGGTTTGTCGAAATTGAAGGTCACCACGTAACTCTGCTGTAATGGCGTGTACCACATGGACGGAAGTGATCTCGTACTGGTGTGATGGCGACGCCGGCTTTAACATGAAAAACAAGTGGTTTGGAGCGCCTCCTAGCGTGGATGAGGAAATTAGAACGAAGTTCTCTGACTTGGTAAGGAAGGCATTTTTCTGTGACACCCGTCAATATTTTTATATTTGATTCTATCAAATAATTGATGGTTGATGGAGCGCTGTACTTTATAATCTCCATCGTTATCAGACATGAAAATGGCATATTGCGTTAAAGACATTTTGCATTTTTATTATTTTTGTTGTAATAACTTTTGTCTTAAACTTAAACTTAAGGTGGAAAAGGCCTTAAACAACGAACTCCTGGACTGGGAGGACGATCCCGATGGAGCTTTTGCGTTGCTGGTTCTACTGGATCAGTTTCCTAGAACATTGTTCAAGGTATGCAACATAAATGTAGGGAATCGCATACAAGCGCATGTAGACAGAGCACAAGTACACGCATCGGCGCACGTGCATACATGCAAACATCTCCACACCCGTATAGCAAGCATTATGCTGTACACAATTCTTTGGTGGTCTACACTTAAAAAAAACTTTTGAGGCAAGTTAATGAATGGATAAGTATTAAAAATATCGTCATTTTTGCTTAAATGCTGTATTTATTTCAAAATATCGCTTTTACTATAATTTCAGCAACTTCTTATTACACCTGCACAAAAATAATATAGATTTCATGATTAGATCGATATTCAGATTTTCAGGCAGTAAAGAACAAAAAAGGACAAATCACATTCACACTGTTTAAGCACAGACAGTTTTAAAATAATTTATGTCATTTTAGGGTACTGCCAAAGCATTTGCAGGAGAAGCAAGAGCACTGCGCATCGCGAAAATGGTAATATGATAACCATGCATAGCACACGCACGCACACACACACACACACATACATATATAAACACAAACATGCACATACAGTAACACATACATCAACGCACACACACGTAAATACACACAAGAAATTACCCCCCCCCCCCCCCTTGATTTACACAAGGCCATAATTTCATGAAACCAAGATTGCAACTGACATGATGAACAGTGACCGGGAGTGACACAATTGATGTTCTCCCTCAAAACTAATCCCCCACCTCGTCAGGATGTTGTAGTGGGTTGTAGGAGGATTGAGGATGTGTAGTGAGGATTTATAGTGAGGATTTATTTTATTGTTAAAGGCAGCGTGGCGAATTCTTACCTAGTTTTATCTTTGCTGACCCTAATTGTGAGTTATTGCTATTTTCTTTTTTTTTTTTTTTTTACTCGATCCATGAGGTGATAATGGTACTGGTCGATGATACTGACAAACTTAATTTTAATTGAATTCAATCTTGAAAGAGAATAAATACATGTTAGTGTGACCAGGGAGTTATAACTCCTTGGTGTGACAAAAAGAAATGTATACCTCAGAATCACTCATTTAATTTATCCCGCATCACGCCGTCCTAAAAGGCAGCGTAGGTCTTAAGAATAAAGAGACCATTAATGTTGACATAAAGAAAGTATAAAGTTCTTTATATTAAAAACGATCGTCCTTTAGGACCTTATAGCCTCTTTTTGAAATAACCTTTTCAGTTTATTGGTCCCAACGCAAAGTGGAATCACAAAGACAGAAGTTTTGCAGAGAAGCAGTTTGTCTATCTACCCTTAGAACATCATGAAAATAAGGAATCGCAGGTATCACAAAGTTCATGATGTGGGTGTGTGCGTGCGCGCACGTATGTATATGTATGTGTGTGTGTGTGTTTTCCAGTGTAGGGTGCCTCGCATGCTCCCACACCAGACCTATTTACTTACTAGTTGATTCGTTTTTTTTCATCACCGTGTTGTTGTGGACAGTATGGTTTGTGAGATTGATATACACTTACAATACACGTTCCTTCAACATATATCTGCTTGATCATGGTTTTTACTTTACATTTTCTTTTATATAAGTGAATGTTAAATGACCACCTGTACATTTCATTTAGGAATTATCTGTAAAACTCTACGAGGAGTTCGTCGAAGACTACAAAGGCACAGAAAATGAATGGATTGCGGCCGCTTGTTTGAAATATGCAATCGTCCACAAGGTAAGTGAAATGCACCCTGAGGTTTAGAAGTTGTTGTGAATATCCACTGACGGCAAATAGAATGTTCAGTGACATTTGACAGTCAGGATGAGTTAAACGCGTTTAAAAAGCATGTTCATTTACATAGTGAGTCGATCTCCAGAATTAGATTACCAATTGATATATCTTTGCTTCTTTTTTTTTCCTTTTTTGTTTCTTTTTTTTCATTCCGACGATGTAGAAGTGGTTTCTCAGTATCAAAGGGGGCATGTCCCTGCTGTTAACCTCATCCCCCCATATCTGCCATTGGTCTTGATTGACGAATGTGTTATTATCATTCAATATGTAGATATTAAAATGGTACGCGATGTTTTATATACAAAGAGTACATTAATCAAAGATGGCCTCATGTCATTTGATGCCACTATCCGGTTCTCATTTCAGGAGTTAATAGACCAGTTTGGACGCTATCCGCATAGGAACGCTGCACTGGGCAGGACGAACACGACAGAGGAAGAGGAGTTTCTGGCCAACATACCGGCCAAATACCGCTTTTAACGTACGGATACAGACATTGGACAATTTTACCAACATGGGGTTTTAAAATGACTTGCGTGATAGCATCACTACGACTGGATCACTTACAAAATGCAGCATTATTTGTCATTGCATAATGATAACAATTGACAACGTTTTTACATGAGAATTTCGAGCGTTTGGTGACCAAAGTGCTCAAGGCAAAAGTACTTGGATGAGCATAGAATAAAGACTCAATATCATTGGCAAGAAGAGCAGCTATATGTATAGGGTAAAGCATTCCGGGTGTTAGGGGTACAGGTTGGTATTTGATAACTCAGAGTCCGGGCATTTTGTAGAGTCCGTTTAGTGTCTATGTGTTTATAGATGTAAATAAATGTTGATAAATATATTTGAAAATAAAACAAAATAAGGTGTGTAAAAGCGGAATGGACTAACTTCAAATAACAGGGAGAAATGAACGATAAACTGTGTTTTTCAGGGTGAAGTTTCATTCTGTAACATTATTTGACGTCATATAACTGGCACAGGACAGTAATTCTTTGTTGGAGAGGAGGAGGAGGGTCTTCATAAAGTATTAGCCTTTTCCTTCCTTCCAGACCATCAAAAGTGGTGACCATGATGGTCAGAGACGGTGAAAATAACCTGCTCACATGTTCAGTCTAGACCTTCGACGTTTTCCCCTCAACACACCTTTCCATTCCCACCCTAATCATTTTTCCCTGCCTTCGACCCGTTGGTACACCCGGTATATCAAAAATAATGTAGGTACTTTTGATGATATAGGGTTCGGTGTAAGCAACTTGGCATTCACCCATATGCCAGTATTATAAAGTCTCATGTTATCCACGCCTTTGAACATATGCAATGTGAGAGGGAAGTGTGCTTCCCTTTGTCATTCACAACGCAAGATCAAATATAAACATCAAGGCATCGTTTGCAACATACATGTATTTATTTTGAATATATATTTGCGTTGTGAAGATAGTAAACAACGTGAGTGCTCTGTATTTGTTAACTGCACATGGATGCTTTATTGACTGAAATACAGTGACACGTCAAGGTTATGCACAAGAATGGCAAACGCTGGTTTAATGATTGCTTATAAAAACCAACACAGGCCAAAATAATCCTTATTAGCGCGTCAAAAAAAAAAAAAAGACATTTCTTGAAAACTAGTACACAATGCTGTGAAGCCCGGAGCTATTATTTATTTTTATTCTGTTATTGTAGTTTCGAACCATTTCACATTAGTTATTTTCGAGTTCACCTACATGTACAGAAAATAACAGTAATGTGAAAGTTTTACCCTTAACGCTACATTCTTTAAAATGTTTTCAACCATCACGAGCTTCTGAGTTCTATTTTTTTTTCATTCCTAAATTTACCTTGACATCGAAACGTAAGAAAGGGTATACGGCTCCTCTGCTGCAACGACGCTAAAGAAATGTCCGAGAGCAATACTGCAAAGGAATCCTATTTAAAGAAGGTTAGGTGCACTACAGGTAGCAGGTCAGACCTACATATAGCGTCGATTGAAAAGTCACTAAAAGCTTTAAATGTAAACAACGTCGAGCCTGTATAAACAAACCTGCAATCAGTACACACGATCAGAGGATATCTGAGGCCAGATATACCAGCCACTGGACAAGCCTTCATTCTAAAATCGTCAACTACAGTGTAGGCCTACGCAGTTAAATAGACAGACTTACTGTTTTGGATAAACCAAAGCCATGGCTTAAATCACGCCGGCCTTTAATATAAAAACTGTGCAATATATATAAACCCCAGGTCATCATCGACCGGTCGCCTTAGCGCTGTGGCCGGCAGCGACGTGGTCAGTGACTGTTGTCAAACCCAGTGGCTGCCCACTGGCGGTGGTAGTCAAGATGCCGAGAGGAATGGCGGCGCCCTGCTGCCGAGGCGTATTATGGCTGGCTCGCAGGAGCACAATACACTCACCGTGTTCAAAAGTTAGCAGCGTGCAGGCATGTTGTTTAGCACATAAGGAGGTGTAAGTACAGTCTCAATAATAATACTTAATAATGTGTAGATGCATATACATGTGTGCGAAATATCAGTGTGCATTGCTTATACTGTTCTCTGTCAGTGACAGCTAGAGGCTTAATCTCATATTAGGGCACAGACAGAATAGTTTTTCCATGAATATAGTACAATCAGTAAGCCTACACAGAGACCGGTATTACATTGTGTGTCTATATTGTGCACACTCCGAAACAATGGTGGCATTACTACCTGTATATAAATCCGATAACTGGGCTAACGGCTTTCAGTGAAGCCTACTCAGTACATGTACTTCGTCAATGTATAAAACGCATATAACACCGTGCTTTGAAATCATTATATAGAAATAACAACAAGAATTGAACGCAACAAGTAGTACATGTACAGGGTATGTAGCAGTACAGCGCAAGGGTTCTTGTACGTTTACCTTCTGAACAAAGACATTGTGTATATTCTAATTTTTCCTGTCGTATGTGTACTGTTCTGTTATTGTTTTTTATATGCTTATTGCACTCATATTTTTGTATAAACAGGTTTCCGACGTTTACGTGTCCATCAGCATCCTTGACTTTCCATTGTCCACACAGCACTTTGCTTTCACAGTGGCAGAAGGTCAAGGTCATCAGCTCGCGTGATTTTTCAACCAGTTACGTCACGCCGTGTACAACCTGGTCGGAGGTCAACTCATTTTGGTGCGAGGGAGACCCGTATGAGAACGTAAAAAACAAGTGGTTCGCAGCGCCGTCTAGTGTCAATGAAGAAATCAGGATGAAGTTTTCTGATCTGGTTAGTTGCAGTGGAAATTCTGTCTAATACAATAATAACTTTTTGAGTGTCTGTCAGATCAGTAGTTTGTTCGTCGGAAAGATCCTGTAATGTCTATATTGCTTGCAATCGTTTTGTTATGGACTTTTTCGTAAAACTGGGCCCCGTAACTCGAAAGCATCGCGCATTGCGAATAGCGATATCACATAGAGGCTACAGTGTATTATATGGGGAAAGTATCGGCGAGTTATGGAATCGAGACGCTTGCGCTCGGTCGCAATGCGCGATGCTTTCGAGTTACGGGGCCCTGAACTACATGTAGAAAAGTAGGTAGAGATCGCAGGCCTCCACCAAGGACTTTACACTGATAAATTGTGGTAATAGAGATGACACCCATTGCACTACCAGGGCCGTAGCCTCCGGGGGGGCAGGGGGGGGGCAGCTGCCCCCCCCCCCCCCGGGGTT